TCAGCATGATGAGAGCTTTATTTTGCAAATATATGACTTGCGTACTTTTCGAGGTTTTTCAAGGATATGAGTACCTACTGTAACAGGAAGTTTGAGTTTTATGTCATGTACTTGGGCAGAAATCCAACTTAAGGACTGAATCATGTAAACCAGGTTTTTCTGATTATCAGATTATTGAAGTGCAGGTAAACGCGTCAAATCGGATTATTACCATTACCTGATTATTCCCAGTTATCTGATTATTGTGAGCATGTAAACATGCTCAATGTCAACTTCTAACTTAGCATGTAGCTAAAATGTCCTCTATCCCTGATGCTAATTTTCGCTCATAACTTAATCAATTTGTGCTACAAACATATTTTTAAAAAATATGAGCTATTTATGGGCTTTTCCTAATGTTTTGGAAATAAGGAAAGACAATAGTTTTTCAAATTCAATGTTTACATGTGTTTTTCAGTGTGTACAAAGTTTGATTATCATAAAAATATGTACTATATGCATCATACCGGGATCGGTAAACATCGGCTATTGGGTATAACAGCAATGTTAATATCAGATATTGGTATGGGCCAAAATGTTCATATCGATGCATCCCTACTTATAAGCAATATCTTGTTTGTGTTTACTTGAAGCAAGAAATAGTGCAATGTTGCGTTGCATTATGCAGCATTTGGTTTAATAATAATAATAATAATGATAATAATAATAATACATTTATTTATAAAGCGCTTTCAATCAAAGTGCTGTACAGGTGAATTAAAACAAGTACAAGTACAAATAGAGACAACGTACAACAGTTTCAAAAATAAACACACAAACAGCAATGATAAAAACACAACACACACCTAAAACAGGACATCACAGGAGGAGCAAACCACCCATCACTCAAACGCAGCAGTAAACAAGTGGGTCTTTAACTGTCTAATGTCAAGAGGAAGACTATTCCACAGAGTTGGTACACAGAAAGAAAAAGCATGTTCACCGACGGTCTTCTTTTTGACTTTAGGGACAAGCAGATGGCCGCTTGACTGAAAAATAGTGGCATGTTGTGTAAAATCATTAAATTTACAGATAGTTCTAATTAAATTGTTTATATTTTATTTGTACACATTAATAGCACACTAAAATAAGCATAAAAGGCAAAAACGGAGTTCCCAAAAATAAAAACGTCATGTAATTTGGGAAAAAATAAAACAGATTTTATAGGGCCCTACTAACGTTTTGTGTTTTTGTGCAGCATCAGGTGCCATGTCTCCGAGTTCACGACATCCTCCTGCTCCATCAACATCATCACATGTTACACCCAGACACCCAGTGGACGGTAGGTTTCTGCAGTGAACATATGGTCAGTTTTGGGGAGTAACAGTAGTTAACTACATGTAGTTCAATTACTAATGACTTGACTTCTTCCACTCCTACCTTACAGGGAGGCAGGAATATCTGATGCTGGGAAATTTCACCTCTAGCACAAGACGTGTCACCTCTGGTGTCCCCCAGGGCTCAGTTCTGGGACCCCTGCTCTTCCTAATCTACATGCCCCCTCTTGGTAACATACTGCTAAGACATGACGTCAAATTCCACTCGTATGCTGACGACACTCAGATCTACCTTCAAACCTCCCCTGACTCTAATCTGGCTCTCACTTGGGCTGCTAGATGCCTTGATGACATTCACCATTGGATGAGTAGTAACTGCATTTACATGGCAGCAAGACCGACGCCATCCTCATCTGCACCCCTCATCAAACTAAACAGACTGGAATAACCCATATCACTGACAATCTTTCTATCCCCCTCTCTTCATCTGTCACCAACTTGGGAGTAAAGTTAAGACTCATTGCTGTCCTGTGATGCCCACATAAAAACGGTTTGTCAAACCTCATTTTTCCATTTGAGAAACATCTCAAAACTGAGACCCTCGCTCTCCCAAACTGATGCTGAAAGACTGGTTCATGCCTTTGTCAGTTCTCGCATCAACTATTGTAATGCTCTTCTGGCAGGCATCCCCTCAAAAACCATCCAGAGGTTACAGTATGTCCAGAACAGTGCTGCCCGTGTCCTCACCAAAACCTGGAAAACTCAACACATCACCCCAGTTCTCCATGCCCTTCACTGGTTGCCAATAGAGTGTGCCAGGGCTGACGTCAAAACCCGGAAGTTTAGCATCGCACTGGTTCCCAGAAGAGAAAGTGGATGTGATTTTTGCATTGCGTTTTGGATTATGTCAGAAAATAAGCCCTGTGGCTAACACAAGTTTATGATACTTACAGGTTTTGTTCAGCGAGATAATCTTCACATATGAACACTTTTCATACCGCATTTGAAGCTTAAATGCAATCGCCAGAAGTAAAAAGCTAACATTAGGCTTTAACAGACTACATGACTACTCCACGGTCGCATGACTCTTGACGTCACCGCCACTAAGCTTTCAACTTATTTCGGCTGCTTTATTTTAAAAACATTGTATAATGGGGAAATCGGACTGTTTAAGCTAAATAAGAAGCTGTAATGGCGGACTGCCAGCACTCTCAACTGTTCGGGGGTGATGATGTTTAATGTCCCCGACAGGGTTTGTAGTCGTATTGAGCATCTTGTTAGCAACCGCCTTTTTTACGACACGTAAAAGCTTCAAAATTCACAAGTAGGGTATTTACTGACGTGTTTTATGTCGTAGAACAAAACCTGAAACTCGCTTAGGCTTTTGTTAACCACAGACCTTATTTGAGGCATTTTACCAAAATCCCATTCAAAAAACGTATTGACTTTTAGATGAGAGAACCGGAAGTGCTAAAAGTGCTAACGGAGTTCCAGGTTTACTGGCACACTCTATAAACCAGCGGATAACCTACAAGGTTCTCCTGTTAGTCTACAAGGCCATAAACTATTCTGGCCCCGCCTACCTCCAGGACCTCCTCTCCCCTCAATCTACATCCAGGTCACTTAGGTCAAACAGCCAAAACCTCCTCACCATTCCACGCATCAGACTGTCTACCATGGGACACCGTTCCTTTTCCTCTATGGGGCCACGCTTGTGGAATAAACTGCCTGTTTCCGTCAGGATCTCAGACTCCCTTGCCACTTTCAAAACCAGCCTCCAGACTTACTTATTCCATTCTGCTTTCGGTTAAGGCAGAGTTCCATTCTCTGCCCCTTACTCTAGTTATTTACTTGTTGTCTTGTACTTTTACATATTTGGTTGATTGATTGATTGCCTATTAGGTTGTTTCTCTGCAACTTATGTGTTTTAATCTTCTTGGATTGTGAAGCATTTGAGAAGTCATTTGACTTGCAAGTGTGCTATATAAATGTAATTTATTATTATTATTATTATTTTTCACCTACAGTTTGCAGTAGTTGGTGGTAGTTTGACTATATTCAGGTATCAGTGACATCTTCAGTATTGAACTACTTTGGGTCATGTAGATTAGGTGATTGATTACAAACTACATATTCAGTGTTCTCAAGACATTTTTGTCACACAATATGGCACAGCTCATTGGCCATGGTTGTCATATAATGACATTTACATGCTATTTGATTAAAATCTCTTATGATTTGTGACCAAGATGTTTCTGAGCTGCAGTGGTGGACAAAGTACTCAACCCCAGTACTTAAATCAAAGTATAGATACTCCTGGTCAAATATTACTCAATTGCAGGTGAAAGCTGCTCAGTCAAAATTTTACTCAAGTTAAAGTACTTGCTTTTAAAAATATTTAAGCATTCAAAAGTACATGCTTTTGGAAATACTTCAGTATGTTATTAACTAGTACAATTTACAAAGTATAGTTTCTAATATCACTAAATTGCTGTATTATTTTGACAAGTCATTTTCAGAAGCTTGTAACTCTGTGAAATCACTTAATGAAGTCGCTGACTTGTATGTAAAAGCACTATGCTACACAAAGCCTGATGTAGTTCTGCTTTTACATCAATCCCAGTTGAGAACAGCTACTGTGGTTGGTTTCCTTCTGTGAGGAACAAAGTGTGTGGCCAATTGCCTTTTTAGAAAAGAAAAAACAGTCAAAGCTCTGCTTAGACTAAAAGTACACTAATAGTATCAGCAACCTTCCTAGAAATGTAGTGGAGTCAAAAGACTAAGATTTGATTTTGAAATGCAGTGAAAGTCTGAAGTTTCCACACAAAAAACAAATGCTTAAGTAAACTACAGATACTAAAAAATGTACTCAAGTACAGTACTCAAGTAAAAGTACTTTGTTACTGTCCACCACTGGCAGTTGATCTGATCTGTAGACTGATATGTGCTATTGCTGGTGATGAGGGGTTTATTCTGTTTGATGATGAGGGGAAAAAAAACGGTCTGGTTTTTGTAAAAAAAAAACAAAAAAAAAACGCATCAAGTCGGTAATATCGGATTTTCGCCACTTGGGGGCGCAATTGACTCATTTAAAATAAAAAACGACCTTAGGACAACAGAGTGACAGTAACAAGTTGTTTCTTTTATTCCTTACAAATAAATTTTGCAGCTTACTCAATCAGTGCAAACAAGGGTTGCCTCCTTCGTCTGGCTCAAAGCCAAAGTGTTGCCATAGTGGCGCATTCCTTGATTTCGTCGAGACTAAACTGTCCGCCATTATCGACTCCCCGTCACTATTAAACAAACTCCAGGCTACAGTAGAGGCGCATGCGCACTCGCACCTCCTAGCTCTGTCCCCGCCCCACCCCCCTCTCTCTCCTGCTTGCTGTGCGCTTGGTGAAGAGGCAGACACAGGTGCTCACAGACTCGGGCTTATTATAAGCGGAGCGGACTACTTGTAAAAATGTCCGTTAAAAATCCCCGCGATGTGAAAAATACATGCCGAACAGTCTTTTGTGTGACACTGGTATGCGGAGCGAAGTCTGCGCGGTCGTGCTTTGCGCGCACAGGGCTTGTGGACGTCCACTTTTACCGGGCGGACCTCCACGGCATCCGCTCCGCGTACGTTCTGCCCGAGTATGCGGTCTGGTCGGTCTCAAAAAATAAAACCCGGTCCAAGACGGAGTACCGGACCGAATTGGTATTACCGAGAACCGACCCAACTCTACTGGTGATGAGTGGTTTATTCTGTTTTGATGTTATTTTAATTTCCTAAAATTGATTATTGCCTGTTCTCATCACTTCATCCCAGCCGAAGTGTCAAGACTCTTTGGTCCCTACTCACACGGAGGAAGAAGACCAATGTCTAGGCTGCGACCCCTTGCTGTGCCCACACAACTCTACTCATACACACATTCCTTCTGTTGTCTGGAGGATAAAGCGGATGAATCTTGTTCGGTTTAACTTGAGCTGAACATACCTGTCGGCCAATCAGATCTGAGTAGTCACCCAGACCATGGTATTAGTTTGTTTTCTGAACACGTTGAACAATGCAGGAACTGTTTTTTATGAACATGTTGAACAATGCACAAGTCTTTTATTAGCATGTTGTACAATGCAGAAGACTGTGAAAAACAAAAACCTGGACGTTCTGCCATTGTGCAAATATTATTGGAGCATTGCTGATAATAGGCTTACAGTTTGTATGTAAACATCCAACACATTGGACAGAGGGCCATCGGGCTCTGGTAGACTTTCTAATTCCTGCTCAGTCAGGGAGCGCAGCAGCTGAACTTCAGGGACCACAATACTTGGCTCTCGATGACCACATGGTCCAGTCCAGTCAATTCCATATTCGGTGTCAACCTGTAAATAGAGGAGATGCAGTTGAAGGGTGTGTTTGGCCAAAATCAGCGATTATATCATTATCTAAAGCCATCTAACATTTGTTCACCTGGTGACAAAATAGAACCTAGTTTCAAAATAATTTGGTGGATCAACTCTCATAACAGCTTTAGTTCAATGTATCAGAGGAACTTGTTCACAATTCTCCTTGAGAATAAATTAATATATAATACGGCATTATTATTATTCCACAACTTTCTGATCCTTGATTAATCCCATTATTGTAACAAGACATAAAAAAAAAATCTAAATTAAAATCTCCATTTAGCTCCTGGATATCAGGCTACTTTAATAATAGCATTATTCTTATTCTTATCCAGATGTGCAGCACAGGATTTTAGAATACGCTGTCCCTGCCTTAACAGTTGAAATATTATAGTTGTATAATATCAGATAAGATGACTAGAATGACATACTACGTAGGATATTCATACACAAAAAAATTAAATTCAAACCTGCATGGGGTCCTGCTGTGCCTCATGCTCATGGCAAGTCCAGAGTTGAAGTGGGGACTGATTTCCCTCAGTCCTCAGTCGGTGGCTGTTCCAGCCGTGCCGGAAAGTCTGAAGGTGCTTCTGAATATGAGGCAGAAAGCACCAGTGTAGCGCATAGAGATGAACTTCGTTGTCAGGATTTAGAAGGCCATCTCTCTCAAGGTTGGTAAAGATTGTGTAGAACAGATCAAGCGCCCCCCCATAAACATCTCTCCAGAGCCTCTCTATTCTGAAGGGGGAAAAGAAAAGGAAAACTGCCTATCAGTGTCATTTGCCAAAAATTGCTGTATTAAACTTGCTGTAAAGGTGTGGCATACAACATAGGTTACACACACTATCATGCAAGAAGAGAGGGGAGGGGGATTATGACACAAAATTACAAATCAGTTGGTAAATCCATAATTATCAGTTCATGAATTTGTGTTATTGTTTATCCTGGATTACTTTGTAATTTAAATATCATCAGCATTCTTGATAAAAGTAGACTTAAAAATGCTCCAAAACAATAAAAACTGAGACCAGTTTGGATTCTCCTGCTGGTTCCAGAGCTTCTTAACCATCATTTTAACCAACTACTGACTGGGGTCTCCCAGGACCACAAAACACTGGTATGTTTAAAATGCACTTCTTAAAACATAAATAGAAAAAAAAACACCAAAAAACAATGGCATCAAGTCATGAGGAACAAACTGATTAAAAAAAAGTCATAAAAAATTTTTGAATGACAGAATACAACCCCTGTGAAATATGACAAAGTACAGCTCTGGGGGGTAGGGTGAGGGTTAGGATGCTCTCAGCCTTCTACGCGAGTCACTTCTTGATCTACTGTAATGTTAAAGTCCTCAATTATTATGCTTTTGGGAAAAACATCTTGAGCTTAAGAAGGGATCAAGTTGGATTTAACACCCATCTTAGCTTTAAAATACTTTTGGGAAACAAAGCCCAGAACTGTAGGAAATTAATTATTGTGTTCAAATTCAGTTACTTAATAACCAATCAAGGTTGATGGGAGACAATACTATGTCTGGAGTTCTTCTGTGTAACAGACACAGTCTAATCATTTCACAAGCAGCAGGAGAGGAGAGCACTGATCTAAAACCGGACATTTTAACCATCAATGTCGGGACATTTCACTGATCATTTTAATCCAAACCATGATCGTTCCTAAACCTAAGCAAGTGGATTTTGTGCCTAACCCCAACCTGACCTTAACCACAGCGTTGCCACAACATAAAACATGATTTTTATACACTGATTTGTATCGGTTTTGGAAGACACCATCAAAATTATCTTTTAATTAACAGTAATGGACAAGTCAAAAAAAGTAAGAGTTTGTGTTGACATATTTTACAAATACTACTATATAGATAAATGTCTGACTAAAAGATTGCTACCTTTGATTATGGACAGTCCTTCCAGCAATATGCAAATTCCTGTCAAGTCCTCTGTTAGCCACCATGTAGCGTGCAACGTCAACATTCTCCCCTCTTTTATCCGACCTCACACGGGATGGCACACCATAAACATCAACAGCTTCTAGAAAGCTTCTCAGGACTGTTGCTGCATGATTGTTAGTGGCAGCACTCAGGTACACGACGAGACGACTAAATCCCTCAACACCACCATGCACAACAATACGCCATCTGAAACATATGTATGGACACAGGTTAAGGGCAATGTCACCACCTGTAACAGACAGACATTTCTGTCTTATCATTATCACAGGGCTTAAAGTTCTCCGGCATGGCTACGGAATACTGGCATGGCACTGACATAGGATGCCAGAAGCAGTTTTCAGACCAGCCGCACAGCTCTGTGTCGGCTTACAGCTAGCTCGCGTTCTGCAGCGATCGTTTCTGGTCTATTTATTTCTGCGAGTAGCGAACGAATCAGCGAGTAGCGAGCAGACAGGGCTTCAGACACAGAAACAGCATAGAGAAATCTGCAAAGTTTTCAAAATAAAACACCCTGTGTTAATCTGCATTTTGACACCAAGGTTTACTGCAAAAGTAAGCCTGTATCTGTTCCAAATATCGGTTATTGGTCTCTTTGGTCACTAATAATCGGTAACGGCCCCGGAAAAAAACCCTGAAAGCATTTCAGACACAGAAATAAATCCCCAAAACATTTCAGGCACAAAATTTTTCCTTGCCTTAAGCCCTGTTGTCAGTAGTAGATCAGCAAGTAGCTCAAATCCCAACCTGTTGGTAAATTGGCCCCACATCCTATAAATAGGTAATGACTAAAATTCCTTACGCTGTATGCGGATGCCTTGTGCATTCAGGTGCCCAACCATCATTTTGTATCCACAGTTGTGATGGTTCCGCAGAATCTGGGTCACACTTTCATCCAGATCACTGTCGTCCAATGGAGTAAGTAGATTGTGGACTCTGATAATAAAAAACAAACAGTTATCATGACACAGATATAACCACAGTACAACCAAAACCAGTGGTGGATGGTTACCAAGTACATTTACTCAAGTACTGTACTTAAGTACAAATTTGAGGTACTTATACTTCACTTGAATATTTCCATTTTATGCTACTTTATACTCCCACTCCACTACATTTCAGAGGGAACTATTGTACTTTCTACTACACTACATTTATTTGAGTTTTACTTCATTTTCAGATGACAATTCTTCATACCTTTCCTTTCCAGTGAAAATCATATTATCTCCAAATATGTTGATTTTGAACGTTTGTGATAAATTGAAGGATTAAGTGTTTCTTAATGGGTTTAGAAAATGCTCCAAACTTCTTAAGCTGAATAAACTATTTAAAACCCCTCATGGCTCAGCTGGAAAATGCATCGTCACAAAGCTGAAAACAGCTTGTTGACTTTTTAGAGATGCACGGTTCTCACAGGACAACAACACTTAGAACATATTCACCTCAATGAAGTGTGCAATTGTTTGGAATGAATATTATCTTGTTTTTAACCTTGTGTTTGTCTTTGCAACTGTATCTCAACATCATGGTAAATGAGGGAAACCTCAATGATCTTTAAGACTTAAATAAAGGTTGAATAAACCCTAACTGGCCTGTTGTATACTATACACTACACAACAGTATGTAAAGTAGTTCAAATTTGCTCAATATTAAACATCTGCAGCAGTAAAATGCAACATACACATACGGATACATGCTACCTATATATATGTGTACACACACACACACACACACACACACACAAGTACACAATACAATCACCTCCTCTCATTAATGAGCTTAACTGAGATAGGGATAAACGAGTGTTTGTACCTGTTGTGTTTGCACAGAAAAATAAAAAATAAAGTTTGACACACAAATACAAGACAGGACAAGACAAAATTTGATTAAAATTACCTAATACCATATTGTTCCATCCTCCTATGAATGGTTCTCTCGCTCACCCCAAACAAATCCGCAGTATCTCGAGCTGTGAGCCCCAAAAGGAGCCGAGCTTGGATTTCATCTGGAGGTAAAATTTAGGGAGGGCGTCCAGCTGATGCTTCCTCTGTCTCAGAGATTAAGTGAAACTGGCGGGCTACTTCTTGCAGACCGTTTAGCACTGATAGATCAACTTCGACATCCGTATCAGCAGAAAGCTGGCATAAATCCTCCATTATTCTCCCCAGACGAAATTCAATATAGTCCTTAGCTTCATTGTTCTCTACACTGTTAGCTAATGATCTTAAATCATTGGCAATGGCCCGAACACAACTTTCCATTACTCCACAGTGTTACTGACGTCGGCCTAGCTAAGCGGCTAGTAGCAGTGAAGGCAGCACTAGTAGATCACATCAATGTGACCAATCAGGCTCTAGACTGTTAGGACCGCCCACCTCATTACCATACAGACACAGAAATGTAGAAATAAATAAATGTGGAAATACAGAAATAAATTATTAATTAATGTAGATATAAATAAATAAATACATAAATAAATGTAGAAATACATAAATAAATACAGAAATAAATGTAGAAATGCAGAAATAAAAAATGTAAATATATTTATTTATTCTTTTATTCATGTATTTAATTATTTATTTCCACATTTATTTATTTACATATTTATTTATGCATTTCTACATTTATATATTTATCTATATTTATGTCATGTTTTGTCCTTGTAGAAATAAATAAATAAATAAATGTAGAAATACATAAATAAATACAGAAATAAATGTAGAAATAAATAAATAAATACAGATATAAATGTGGAAATAAATACATGTAGAAAAGCACAGGGGGGGATTCCATCAAGTAGGCTAAAGGCAAATCCAGGCTTAAATGGCCAAGTCTGGCTAATGTGAGCCAGAGTTCTGTTCCATCAAAGTGGCTAAGATTAGCCTCACATCAGTAATCATGGTAACCATGGTTCTGGCTAAGCCTGATACATCGAGCTAAACTCCGGTTTATGTTCCATCAACCTGAGCCAAACTTGAATTCGTGTTCACAGTGAGGACTTTGTAGTCGTAGAAATTAGAGTTCTATTCACAAGACTTTGCACTCACAGCTTTTAGATTCATACTCACATAAAAACAATCCTAACCCGAACAATTTCACAGACTCACGTATATGACAGCAGAATTGTGTGTACAACAATTTTATTGACATACAAATGTTTAACATTACGAATATGAATGGTTAAAATTATGCATACATCTTTTTGATAGTTGTCTTACACCATAGTGAGGCTTGAATTAGCGTCAACTAGATTGGGAGTTGGCATTTAGTCAAACTTCAAGATTACACCTTAGTCTGGATATTCTTAGCTACGTTGATGGAATACCCCCCAGAAGAGATTTGGAAGTGAGTAAAATAAACAAACAGCGTAAGTCGAGAGGGAGTGATATTAAAACAAACTGGTTATAGAAAATATGGTATATTTATTCTTTAGCCATGGAGCTCTTGAGCAGGAACAGTTTGTAATGGTTTGCTAGAGCACGGACAAAATACTTTGATCTTTCTACATGGGGTTGTGTTGTTAATGTCCCAACTGGCAAACTGTTGTCTTGAGTCCGTCCTAACGTTGGCCCTTGGCAGTATAGCAATACGTGGGGTCAGACTGACAGTGTTTTTCTTTACACAAGAAAAGACATAACTTGTATGCATTACATTTAATGCCAAATTTCCAGTTAGGCAAGAATAATTGAGAAATTGTCATAGACAGCATTTCTAGAAACAAACAATGTGTTGATGATGGGTGATGTGTTGGACCGACAGGAGGTGATAGGGGAGTATGTGCTGCAGTTCAGAAAGTAAAAGGGGAAACCATACAGGTTTAGGAAATGATGTCGGCTACACCATCTACCTGATCAATAAGGTAGAAGAGGAGGAGAGAGCTGGGACCTTCAACCCCCAAGGGAACAGCAAGGACAGCCTACTGTCATTCCTGGACTATGCCAGGAGCTTCCAGGAAACTGAGGACCTGAGGGAGTACCTTCTCTCCAGGAAGCCTGCACCACCAGTGTCGTCAGAGGGGGACAATATAGTTGGCTTTGGAGCCAGGGCCAAGCACACCTGGAAGCAGATCTGCAAGAACAGGGGGGACGGTTAAGCTGCCTTTATTGTAGGAGTAAAGTGTGTGAAAAACAGCAAGATGTACAACCTGCAGCAGTACATCCTTCAGCAGCAGAGGGCTGAGTCCTTTCCACCGCTTGCAGAAGTCTCCTCTACATCGGCTGCTTCCACACACACATCTAGACCTCTTGGTCAGTTTACAAAAATATGCAAATACTGATTTAATGTGAACATTAAATGTACCTAACACAATAAATATTATTGTTATTTGTCGCCTAGTGATGGAGGAGGATGAGGAGCTGGAGAGAGTGATGTTAAACCTGCCTCCATCTGAATTTGACATTGAATTCAGTAAGTGGATCTATTGTATTAATTAACATTTAAAATGTTACTGTACATGATAAAAGTCTTGTATCACCTGTGCTTTCAGGGCCACCAGCAGAAGTCTCCAGTGCCCCAGCTTTATCTCCATCAACAGGTTTTACTCAGTGTGGAGGGAGGATTCTGTTTGAACCAGAATTCACCTGCCATTATTGTTCCGTAACTAGTTTGTTGTTTTGGCCAAGTTCCGGCCTGTTCTGATGCTTGTGTTCTTTTACTCTCCTACTAAAATAAGGAATTAACATGTCAGTGATGATGGTAAGTGCTTTGTTTTTTTGCATGCTTTTTTAAGTCTGTCATACAAGGATGTGGCATGTTAAAAATGTAGCTCAGATACAGGTTAACATGCCACATGTCTGACTGACAGGTGATGTGCGTACTATAGTATATTAATGTTGTTTCTGTGCTTTACCTGTTTGCAAACACTTTAAAGCTTTTGTTTTTTCTATTTAAAATAATGGCAATTCACAATTTAGTAAAACTGGATGCTTTTAGTCTGTACCAGCAGTTACTACAGAAACAACAGGTAAAGACACATTGTTAAGCTTAAACAAACTTGACTGTGTGAGGAAAATTACACTGTATTGTTTTTACAGCTCACAGGACAAAGCCAACAGCTACAGCTACTGTTTCCAGACCTGCTGAGCCTAGTGACCCCCCTGTGAAAGGTTATTTTAGTTCTTTACTTCACACTTTAAATTATCCCGAATGTTGTGTGAACTTTCTTGTTTTTTTTCCTTCAATCCTACAGCTACAGTGAAGACCCCACTGCCAGTCCCTCCTCAGCTGCTTGCCATCGCTCCACAACTTGGGATAGAAGAGCAGACGCCCAATGTGTTTAGACAAAGTATGTCATCCTCTTATACTACCAGTGTATCTCAAATATCAATCAGTTTCATTTCGACAAATCAAATGTGTTAAATAATGTTAAGTAAATACAACATCCAGTGTCTGTTAAGGTTTTATACAATTTTGTTGCAACTTTTTTAAAAGCACATGAAAAGCCAGTCTCCCACAGTTGATCTTCTTGGCCTGGGATAACAGCAGCTCCATGTCTTCCTGAAGGTAAATGTTTTATTTTCTTACATGCTGTGAGACAGAATATCTTAATTTTCATTAGTAACGCGTATGTCTCACTTGCCTGTCCTGTTTGTATCTCGCCATCCCAGATTCATCATTACAGAATATTGCCCCTATGGAAGCTCAAAAAGACACTGTCCTTGATGAAGGTATTTATTTTTGTGACACTGTTTTAACCATAGCAGTCACTGGTACAGAGTTCTCTTACTTTTTCTCTTATTGTGTATATACTGTAGTTTTTCGTTGCGTTTTACAGCTTCGCCATGTCCAGCACCTCCTGTCCCATTAGATGCCCCACACCAGCCTGCAGCCTCTGTCCCAGGCCATGATCAGGATGTTGCACAGTGGAACTGCTCCCAGCAGCAGAAGATCTGGATGAAGACTGAGATGGAGGTGTTGGGGCTGTGGCCAGGGTCACG